GTAGTAGGGCGGATCCAGCTTCTTTTTTTAGGGTGGGCAAAAATTTTTTTGGTGGGGATGGACAAAGACGCTTAGGATTGATAAAATTAGGGCAAAAAAAATTTTTGAGAGAGGGCAAAGAACCCAAAATATACCCTCGATCTAAAATTTTTAAAAAATAATTTGAGGGTGGGCATTTGCCCCCCCCCCCCCCCCAAAAAAAAAACATCAAAGCTAGCTAGCTAGGAGAGACAACAAACTAAATAAACCAACACTCCCATAGAACACAAAAGCAAGATAGGAGATACAACCAACGCAACAAAAAAAAAAAAACAACCATAGTGGATGACAAAAACCAAGACCACCACCCAAATGCTCGAAGAGAACCAGAGTGAATGGAATCCCCATAGGGCCAAAACCGGCCCAAATACACAAGAACAAAGGAAAAAAAAAAAATTTGAAAGACAACAACAAATATCATTTATGCCTAAAATATGGTAACCCAAGCTTATGCACCCTAACCATGCCTTTCAACAAATTCAAATTGGTAAAATCAGTATACAACTCAGTAGAATCATGGTGAATGTTTTTCTTTGCCAACCAATCAGCACACAAATTAACAATTCTTAAAATATAAGAAATTATATAAGCAACCTTCTTCAAATAGTTCATAATATTCCTAAAAATATAGAAAATAGAAGCATTATTACAACAAATTCTCTTAAAGGTTTATCAGAATTAAAGAATCAGACTCAATCTAGATATTCTGAATATTAAATTGATAAAAAAATTTGAGACTGAGTAAAAGAGTAGTGGACTCATCCATAACTACATTCCCGTAAGAGACATTAGCAACAAAAGCAAATATCATATCACCCTAAAAATTCCTAACAATACCACCACAACTAGCTCCAGCATTAGATATAGACCGGACAATATTTAATTATAACTTGATAAAAGCCGACTTAATTTAGTAAACAACACTAAACATATATCTCATGCTATCCTTCTAAAAAAGAATATGGAAAAAGATAGTCCAATAAGGAACACCTTTAAAATGCTTAGCCATAAGTAAATAAGCATTAACCAACTGATGGATTTTTAATTTCAGGCCGAAAATGATTATGTCAAAATTCACTTTAACATCAAGATGTTTGCTATTGTCCCTCTCATACCATAACATCCAAAAAATAATAAGAGGAACAATATTAATACCAATGTGACTAGTAGGTCTATTGGAAAATCTTGGAAAATCATTGAAGTAATAAAGAGTAACAATTAGTGGCTTTAGAAATCAATTAAATTAACTCCCAAAGCATTCTCCAAAAAGCTCCAAAGCTTACTATAGCAGTAGTCCTTGCCAAAAAAAACATGATTGATAGTCCCAACGTGCAAACAACATTGATATTTAGAAATCATGTTAAAACCTTTGATCATTAATCTCTCATCCACCAAAATGAAGCCCTGAATAAGCCGCCAATTAAAAATAGAAATGGATGTAGGAATGTTAGAAGCCCAAATTCTATTAAAAAACTTTCTTTTTTAGGAGACCTATCTCTGATATAATTTCAAACATCTTTAAAACAGAAGTCACCATCTTTAGAAATATTAAAAATCATCTTATCATACAAAGTGATGTCAAAGGGAATATCAATGATATTATTAGCCACAACCTTATGAATAAAATCTAACAAACATTTATAATTCCAATTGTCATCAGAAAAAAATTCAGAGACAGCCATAGTGGGAGTAGAATGGGTACGAAAATATGAGTCGAAGGAACCAAACCCTGTCTAGTTATCTTGCCAAAATTAAGAAAGAAGAACCATTACCAATACCCCATTACAAGAATAACTCTCTTAGCCATTTGATATTACACATTCTATGCCAAACAGAGGACTAACCCTTTAAAAAAAAAATAAGAAGTATGGCTCGACTTACAATATTTGAGGTTAATAAAGTTGGTCCAATGGGAATTGTTTTGTTTAAATTTCCACCAAAGTTTGATAGAAAAGCAATTAATCATGTCTCCACCTTCCCTAATAGGCCCAGTTCATAAGCAACAGAAGAACCCCAGGAAATTTATTAAAAATTCTCTCCATCATGCCACAAAACTCCAAAGAGGAATTAATAGTTTGAAAATAGTATGACGGTAAAGAAGACAAAACACTCTTAGTGGCTGTTTGACATGCATAATTAGGAGGGTAAAGTAATTTACTTACACGCATTTCATAAATTAGGTCGTTTGGTTGGTTTTGAGAGGAATGTACTACATTTATTTTACATTGTATTTACTTTACACTGCATTTTCTTTTCAGACAACCAAACAACTCCTTAATCAAAATCATACGGTCACTCATGCAAAGAAGTTTAAATTCCCAAACTGAAAAATCTTATCAAAAAGAATCAAAGGTGTATGATTCAACAAAAAATCAACATATATAATATCGTAATGTAAATGTTCAAAACTCTAGAACTGTGCTTGATTTACAACGTACGTATCATTTCACAGTTCACGATAAGAATTATCTAACTTGGAGACTTTACTTGCCGCCTGCTTGCTGCTCCAGTTATAGACCAATTTAAGGCCTTGCCCAGTTTCTAGCATGTTAGATATTCTGCTTGGTATGCACTAACCATAAGTGATGAAGCAGACCCCAACTCGGTGACATTTAATTTCTTCGCATAATTTCCAGGAAGATAGGACAAGCTTTAGTTCTACATTCTACTTCTTACTTCAAAGGGAAAAACAAAAGATACATCGCACCAAACTCAATAATTTTGTATGGTACGCTTGTGTTATGAGCTAGAAGTACTAGGGTTTTCTTTTTTTTGTGAAGGAGCCAAATTTTATTATATAGTAAAGAAGGAAATTTATAACTAATCTGATTTAAGTTTCGTTTTGTTATTCTGAACATTTCCTAAAATGTAGTTTTAAAATTTTTGTTTGAGAGAACGGAGTTTTCTAATGGAGAAGTTGATATAGAAAGCTTTTGAAAATAATACATAAATACAATTTTTTAAAAAATATTTCGGCAAAAGTGGCACATACAAACAACTAGGGGTGTCAATTTTTGACACGACCCGAATCTGACCTGAAAAAATTTGGGTTCGGGTCAATCCGGACTCGAAACATGTCGGGTTCGGGTTGACACAGCAATCCAAAATTGACCCGAAAATGACACGAAAACTCGTATTAGACCCGAAAACTCGAGATTGACCCATTTTTTATCCGAAAATCGAAGATTGTTTTGATTTTTTACCCGAAAACTAGCAATTTTGGGTCAACCCCGAGTCATTCGTGTCAGGTCGGGTTAACCCGGACTCGAATCGGGTGGGGTTCGGGTCCGAAAACCTGACCCGTTTTTAAAACTGGGTCAGGTTCGGGTTGACCCGAATAGTACCGAGTCAGTTCCGGATTCGACCCGAATCCAACCCGTTGACTCGAATTGACACCCCTACAAACAACAACAACAACAAATTTCTATTGTTTCAAAACTGAAAAAGAAAAATTAAATCGTTTCAAACGAGGCCTTAGAGTTTGATTGATTTTTACATAAACTAGTGTTTTTGGTGAGTTCATTTCTGCACAAGCTTAATTAATTTTTTTTTCTTTTATAGTTCCTAGTCATATATATCTTCTTTGATCCATATGCAAATCAGATCATGATGAGCTTGTATAACTTTCAGCTGCACACGACTCATCTTAATCTGTTGGTTTGAAGAGTTCGTGGGTTCGGGTCTTGTGTATGCGATGTGTGTTTAAGCCTGCCTTAATTGACATAAATGTGCAAAAAAAAAAAAAAAAAACTTTATGCTGCATTGATCCTCTAAATTTTGAAAATCCCTTTTTAATGCTTATTATTTTTGAAATTACAGTCTAGTACTTTAACACATCTTTTTCAAAAAAAAAAAGTGTAAATAAATTTTTTGATTATATATATTTAGAAAAAGCTATTTGAATAATGTCCGGAATCACATTTTTTACCATTTAGTAATAATTTTTTAATACTTTTTTTTTATTATTTAGACTAATAAAACTAAAGCTTAATCTGAAATTGAATTTGTCTTTCTAAAATAAAATTATATAAAGTGAAAGTATCAAATAAAGCTCCTATAAGATACACATGCAGAAATCCAACTATAAATAGCTATCCAATGGTCCAAAGAATTCATGTCATTGTCAATTTCAATATATGCATGATAACTATTACTCTTTTTGAGCAACCAAATTAGTGAAATTACTCCATATTTAAAATTTACAGGGAGGAGGAAGGTATCACTTATTTTTGTGCATCAATTCAATTTGTTCTATTATTAAAGAGTTTTGTTACACTGAAATAAATTTACATAAAAATAAAATAGGTTCTTTTTTCCTAAATGATCCACTAAAATGATTGGGAGTGCTCTAATAGTTTTTTTTTTTTAATATTATGATTTTATCATAAAAAAATGTTTTTTTTTTTTTTTTTTTTTAATATTATGATTTTATCATAAAAAATGGTTTTAAATTTATTTATCTCCTTAATTTCTGTATGCGTTTGTGAAACTAAGCTTGACTCATTATTAAATTTGGTTTTTTTTATTTATTTATTTATTTTTTTTTTTTTGGGAGATTTGTATGAATAAATGAAGGAAAATTAGGCCTCTTTCTTTATAACGAATCCTACAGAGATTTGGAGGAGCCTTTTAAGCGAATCCTGCACAGATTTGGTGCAACCTATTCAAGAAAACAAAAAGATTCTGCACTGAGCTGGTTAGCATTATGAACATCACAGCCTTTTGTTACGTCATCCTTGCCAGGGCTAGCTATCCTTCCTCAATTAACACAAAGATACAAAGACAAATCTGAGAGAGTGAGAAAGAGAGAATCTTAGATATATATGTGACATTGTGACTACGGGAGGATTTTCCCAAGAACCTCTTGGGGCTGTGCTAGGGTTTTGCTCTGACGAAAACCCTAGTTTTTTCGCCTGCGCTTTCCTCCCGCCGAGAGAGGTCTTCCCTCTCCCCCCCTTCGGATGGCTTTTGATCCGAAGGTTTTTCCCGCCCTTCCTGGGTCCTCCTCTACTCCCCCTTTGGGGCTTTCTTATGCTGAAACTGCGGCCACCCCCTCCTCCATCTCTGAACCGTTCCCGGTGGCTTTCTATCCACCAAAATCTAAGCTCTCTTTTAGAGGCGGTGATTTGACGGAAGGTTCTTCTCTCTGGACATTTTCGCTGGTTGGTTACTCGCTGGGGCAGCGACCTTACTACGAGCGTCTCCTTGCGGCCATGCGTAAGGTTTGGCCATTAAAAGGTGCGATCTCTCTGTTGTCTCTTGCGGATGGATTCTTCCTCATCAAATTCGCTTCTCAAGAGGATTATGATGCTGTGTGGTCTGGAGGACCTTGGTTTTTACTTGGGAAACCATTCATTTTGCAAAAATGGTCTCCCAAGTTTAAACCAAAAAGGGATGAAAATGCTTCTATTCCTATCTGGATTAAGATAGTAGGTTTTCCTTTGGCGCTTTGGACCCCTACTGGTATTTCAAAGATTGCTAGCTATGTTGGTATTCCCTTGTCTGTTGATTCTTTAACGGCCAAAAGGTCACGCCTCACTTTCGCACGTGTCTGTGTTTTAATCTCTAAAGAATCGGCTCTTCCGGAGGAGATTCCGTTGGAAATTGAAGGTGAAGATTTGACTCTTAAGGTGGTGTATGATTGGAAGCCCTCTCCTTGTGAAGGCTGCGGTTCACTGGTTCACCCATTCTCCCTTTGTCCCAAAAATCCCAACCCTCCATCTCCTGCCATTCTCCCTCCTAGGCCGCGTGGTCGAAGTACCAGTAGGCCTCCTCGTCCCAACTCCAGAAACAATTCCAAACCCCCCACGCCTACTGTCGCTCCACAACTCCCCTCAAAACCCCTTCTTTCTTCTGTTGATTCCTTGGTTGACACCCCTTTGACTCATATCAGCACTCCTAAGGATATTGCCCTCCCCTTGGATGCCACTCCTATCATTGTTTCCCCCACTCCGTCCACTTCCATCGTAGCTCCTGAAAAGTCTATCATCTTTCCCCCCACCTTTGCCGCCACCAATGTCAACAATTCTTCCCCTCCTTCCTCTTCCAATTTAGCTCCACAAAAGACTATCATCATTCCCAATCTTAATTCACCCAATGAAGATTCCTATCATGATGCTTCTTCTTCTTCTACCGACCCTCCCCTCATCCCAAGCATCCTCATTGGCTCTACACCCATGAAGCTTCCTACCTCTAACAAATTCAAAGCCCTTCTTGTGGATGACCCTCCCATAGGTGAAGACCTCATCACTCTTGATGAGGAGAATTCCTTAAAAACCACTTCCTCCTCCAAAGCCACTTCCCCTTCTAGCACCTCTACTAAAGCCCCAAATCTTCCCCCTCCTATGCCTAACTCCCAATCTTCTCCTCTCTCTAAGCATACTAGAGGGAAATCCACCAAAAAAGCCAAACCATCTAAATCTAAGTCCTAATGTCTTATCCCAATATTGCTTGTTGGAATATTAGGGGGTTCAATAGACCCGACAAAGTGTTGATGTGCAGAGATTTGGTTCGGATACATAATCTCAAGTTTTTATGTCTTTTGGAAGCTAAGGTGCTCGCCTCCTATGCTGATGATGTTTGGTTCCTTAACACTCATAAAGTTTTTGACAATGAAGAGCATTGCCACAATTTTGGTTGTTCCCCATTAGGAAGGATATGGATTAAATGGGACCCTTCTTTTGTCTCATTTTCTCCTACCTTTCTCTCATCTCAACTTATTCATGGCATTATTTCTATGGGATCTCTTCCTCCTTTTCAGATCTCGGTTATTTATGCTGCAAACAGTTTTGAAGAAAGGGCATCTCTCTGGAATAAGATTAGGGATTTAATTCCCTCTTCCCCCACCCCTTGGATGGTTATGGGGGACCTCAATTGCTACAGATTTCATAATGAGAAGGCTGGAGGGAATGTTTTGGCCTCGGGTAGGCTTCAAGAACTTAATGGGACCATTTTTGATTGTGGTCTCCATGAACTGGCTTCTGTTGGATTGTTTTACACTTGGCATAATCAAAGATCGGATCAGCCTATTCATATCAAGTTAGACAGAGTTTTGGTCAACTCTTATTTTCTTGATCACTTCCCCCTAGCCCACTACAAAGTCACTCCTCCATTATGTTCTGATCACTCACCGCTTATTACAAATTTCTCCTCCTCCAACCGGCTGCCCACTCGGTTCTTATTTAAAAACTACTGGACCTTCATGGATGGTTTTTGGGATGATGTCCTCAATTCGTTTTTGCAGCCTCCTGTTAAAGGGCCTATTTGCCATCTTCACCAATGCTTACAAAATCTCAAAGGTGCTCTTAGGAGGAGAGAGTGGGCCTCCTCCAACCACCTTTCCAACCTTACCCTGGAACTTAAGAACAAACAGCATATTTGTTTAGAGCACATTCAAAACAGGCCTCTTGACTCTTCTTTAAATGCTGCTCTGAAAGAAATTAATAGCAATCTCGCTGGCCTGCAAGCTTCTTGGTCTTCTAGGGTCTCTCAACGTGCCAAAGCTAAGTGGCTGTCTCATGGGGAAGATGATCTGGGTTTCATGTATGCAAAAATTCGGGCTAGGAGGAATCATAATAACTTATCTGAGATTGCTGATACCCATGGAACTCACTCAAACCCTCAAGATATTGCTTCTGCCTTCATCCGCCACTTTAAAAACCTCTTCAATATATACCCCCTCTCCCACTAATGCTTTGAGTCATTCTATTCTTCCTGGTATCTGCATTCCCAATGAACTGTTAGATCCTTTGATTGCTCCTTTTACGCATGAAGAAATTAAAAAGGTTGTTTTTAGTGGGTGTGACTCCTCAGCACCTGGGACAGATGGATTCTCCTTTGCTTTCTATAAAAGAACTTGGCATATTACAGGTCCCCTCATTTGTAAGGCAGTCATGGAATTCCATGCTTCTGGTTACTTACCTAGAAGTGTTAAAGCCACAGCTCTGGTTTTAATTCCAAAAGGAGCTCATGTTTCTACTATCTCTGATTTCAGACCTATCTCATTGTGCAATGTTTTGTACAAAATTATGGCGAAACTTGTTGCTAATAGATTAAAAGAGGTTCTTCCGATCATAATTCATGATAGTCAAGCTGGTTTCATCAAGGATCGTTGCTCTACGGATAATATCCTCTTAGCTTCTGAAATTCTTAAAGGCTTTAACAATTCTTTTTGTGCTAAGTTGGATATTCTCAAAGCTTTTGACACGGTTTCTCATGATTTTCTCTATCAGAGGCTTAGACAAAAGGGCTTCCCGGAATTGTTTATTAAATGGGTCAAGGGCTGCATCTCAAATGTTTTCTTCTCCATCTGCATTAATGGTTCTTTGAATGGTTTTTTTGGCTCCTCCTCGGGCTTAAGGCAGGGTTGCCCGTTATCTCCACTTCTATTCTGTATTGTTATGGACGGATTCTCGTGTTCATTACAGAATGTTAATCCCCCTTTTCTTGGCCCTCAGATGAAAGATCTCTCTATCACGCATCTACTGTATGCTGATGACGTTTTAGTGTTTGGGAAGGCTTCAATGGCTAATGCTTCTTCTCTTGCCAAAGCTATCTCCAATTTTTCCAATGCGTCTGGCCTCTTTATTAATCCTTCTAAGAGCTCTATTATCTTCTCTAAAGATGTTCAAAACTATGTTTCCATTTGTGACTGCCTTGGCATATCCAATCAGAGTACTTATCTCAATTATCTTGGGATCCCTATCGCTTCCTGCCGGCTTAATTCTACTCACTTCCAGCCACTCGCGAGTAAAATCTTTACTCTACTGGATGGCTGGAAAGTTAAGTTTCTTTCTTTTGCAGGTAGGGTTCAATTCATTAAGTTTACCATTGCAAATACTCTTGCTTATTGGATAAGAGGCTCCATCATACCCAAATCTTGCTGTAAAGCTATCACTAGGCTTTGCTCTAGATTTTTATATTATGGAAGAATACATGAGAAAAGACTTATTTTAATCTCTTGGAAGAATACTGCTCTGCCGACTAGGATGGGGGGGATTGGTATCCCCTCTATTGAAGCCCTGTTTCACGCCAATTACTGCTCTTTCTTATGGAGGTTCTTCACTAGAGATAATCTGGTTATGAATTGGTTTAGAAACAAATACATCTCACCTTGGAAACCCCTTAACTCTGCTGCATCTAAATTCTGGAAGAGGGTGCATTTCACTGCTCTCTTGATTAAAAGGAAATTCTCTTTCTCTGTTTCTCTCAATTGCAAACTCTCCATGGAATGGGATCATTGGTGCAATGGAAAATCTCTTAAGGACATTCTGCCATCCTTTAAATTTGAGAAAAGTTTTGTGAATTGCTACACTTCAAACTATGGCTGGAATCTCCCTTCCTCCACTCCTCCCCTGCTGCTTACCGAGATGTTGGATATCAATTTTTATGAGCAACCGGCGGTTGTCTGGGATGGCTCTCTTTCACCAACTTTTTCTACTTTCTATGACAGTTATTTTGGTCTTAATGATGAGGTTTGTTGGCACAAATTTGTTTGGCATAAGAAGAAATCTCTCAGGTTCTCTTCTTATGCCTGGATGGCTATGTTGGGAAAACTGAAAACTGCTGATATCCTTATTCAGAGGGGGATTGATGCATATGTTACTTGTTCTTTCTGTGGTGCTGGAAGTGATTGTCATTCCCATTTGTTTTTTTCTTGTGATTTCTCCTTTACTGTCATAGCTTCTCTTCTGCCTCCTCTGGGTTCATTCCTCTTTAGACCAAACCTGTTGCAAACTTTTGAGTTCTTTGAGGAAGCCCGGGACTTTAGTATTGGGGAAAAAAATTTCTGCTACTTTACTATTTGCAGCTCTATTTACTTCTTATGGAGGGAGAGGAACACGAGAAGGTTTGAAAATAATTGGAAAAGCCCCATGACTCTCATTTCTGTTATTCGTCATGCTATACTTGCTAAAGTTAAATTCTGGAAACAATTTGAAGATCTTAAAAGGCGTTTTGATTTTCTGTGCTAATCTCTTGCCTTATGCTGGAATGGCTGGAACATATTTTGTGGTGGAGGATTCCGACCCTGCTGATTTTGGTCCCTTCGGGTATATGTCGCTTTGCCCTGCCTGTTCGATGATGAAGCTCCCTTTGATTTCTCTCGGATGGTCTACGGGCAACCAGAGAAATGACTCGTTCAAATGCATTTTTCTGAGTTCAGGCAGCTGCATTTGGGAGCTGTTTTCTCTGTTTTGCTGCAGGTGTGCTGAGAACTTTTCTGGTAGCTGTGATGCTGTTTATGTGCTTACTGCAGCTGTGCTGGGTGCTTCCGGGATTGCTGGCCTCCATCCTTTTCTTTGGTTGGCATGTTGTTGCTGCTGCTATGTTTTGTGTGAAACCTTTTGCAACTGTTCCTTTTTTTGAGTCTTATAGAGTTTTTTTGTAAGTTTGAGTGGTATAGTTGGGATTTCTTTTGCCATCCATCATAAGTTTTGTTTTTTGGGTTATGATTGGATGATCTTACTTGTAATTATAACTTTTCTTCTATTTTAATACATGGGCCACTGCCCCAAATTTTCCCAAAAAAAAACCTTCTCCCAAAGTTTTCCTTAATTAATCCACCTTTCATTCCCGGAAGCGGCATTGTAGGCAAATGTCCTCCAGTCCCACATCCTAACCGTCCCAGAAACAGTATCTGCTTGACAGAGACGTCAATCCGACAGCAGGAAAAATGACACCTGCAGGCTCACAAGAGAAGGTTAACAGTGAAGGAAGAGAGGAAGAGGAAAGAAAACCATGGGGCGACAAAAGGGTTAGCTTCCAGCCACATAAAGGCGAGAGCTTGATGATGGAAAGAGAGAGAGAAAAAGGGAAAGCAGCAAGCGATGATGATGAAAGCCTAGCTAGAGAGGAGGAGACGCTGTTGAGTAGAAAGCTAAGGAGAGGACTTGCAGTAGGGAAAAAGGGCAGACCTTGCACCCCTTCCCCTGCCTGGAAACTGGAGGAAGACGAAAGTGAGGAGTTGGAAGCCGACTCCGGCGTTGGGGAAAAGCGTCCATCGGCGGCGAGGCAGAAGAAATCTGTTTCGGCGAGGAAGCTTGGCGCGAATCTCTGGGAGGTGCAGGATTTGTTGCCCGTGGTCGGTATGAGTCGAAAGAGCGGCCGACATCACCGCCGAGGGGATGTAGGAAGGGATCCTGATGATTTCATGCCTCTTTGTTCTGCTGATCTTGTGAGTTGTTTGATTATATTTTGATTTTTTTGTGCTTAGGGTGTGTATTTGACTTTTTTCTTTGATGGTTCTATGGGCTTTTGCTGGTTTGGATGATTGTAGAACTGAGAGTAAGTTGGGATCTGCATGTTGGTTTTTTGTGCTGCTGCCATTGCTTCTCTTGAGATTTGGCATAAATTTTAATATGGATCCTGCTTAATAGGATCCTGTCTAAAACTGGTTGGGATCATTGGAGCTATTGCT